TAGAGATGCTCTCGGGCCGTAAAAACAAAAAACAAAAAAACAAAACAAAAAAAAAAAACAAAAGAAAACAATGTGTCAAAGATGTTTGGCGGGCCGCACATTAGGGTTTTTAATTCAATTTCGCGGGCCGCAAAAAAAAAAAAAAAAAAAAAAAATCACTGTTGGGGTGCATGCGGCCGGTTTTCTATAATTATTTTAACTGTTTTCTTGAATACGTGGTCCTCACATTAGATGCTCTCAAGCTATTCCGACCTTCAATATGGCAATGCAATTACTTCTGTCCTATTATTTTCCTTGGTTATGGAGGTGTATTTCCTGAATAAATAAGGCCTTACAAATGGATGAGCATAGGCCTACTGTACACGCATAACAATAAAAATATTTGTCATCACTGTTCTATTTCAGTTCAGTGTCGTATGCAATCAAGTTTTTAAATTATCAAATATGAATGGTCCGTTAACGCACTGTGAAATTAGATATCAAGACCAAATGTTTTTGTGCTATATACGGAGTTTTTTTTTGGTGGGGGGTTGGGGGGAAATAAACAATTTGTTACAAAAGCTTATTTCGACGAATACTAAAGACGTATCCGTCCGTGATAATGAATGCTAAAAAGATCACGTGATAAATCATGCGGTTTAGAGAGAGTACACATATCGTATATTATTTGAATACACAGTTAAAATTAATAGTTTGATTACCACTTTAGACCGTTATAAGCGCTCATAATCAATAACTTTTGTCCTTTGATCCGAATATTGTCAACGGATGAACAATACAAGTAGGCCGATGGAAAATGCCATGCTATCACAATACGTTTCATTATTTCATAATACTGTATTCATATTGTGATCAGAATTCTCTGGCTGTATGGCAGCTTAAAACGCCTGGAAAATTGGTCGTAAAAGTCGACATTGAACGCTATTTGTAATCCACATCTCAACATTATTAATCAGTAAAATTTTATAGTGAAAATTCATTGTCAACAAGGACAATGTTTGCAGGCCTATGTATATTATAAATGAAAGGCCTAGTAAATAAAATTATTAAAGAATAAATATACACGAACAAGATATTCATTGGCTTTATGATTTCTATACATCGTGTCTATATCGTATTGTATATTCATAACAAAAATTACACGATAAAATATGACAAAAATGTCTGCTAAATATAGGGGGCCTAGTTACATTTAATCGATGTGTATGCCAAGAAATGATATGAATATCATATGCGAGTGACCTACATCAGCAAACGGTATTCTGTACAAATATAGAGCTATATATTATACTGTAATTATCTATTTTACATAAGTATAGTAGCGTAAGCCAATGCCCAGCTAACTATGAATAATAAACCGTGTGATTTGTTAGCAAGCTACGGTAGTCTACCGTTGTGATATTATTTATAGGCCTATAGTAATTAATAACTAATGTACTTCTGGCTGAGTAATAAGTATTTTCGTGTAGGCAAACGTCGTTAGTAATAGGCTACTAAACAACCTACCATCGTACTGGTGAACTCAAAATAAGAGGGCAGGGCGGAAATGAAGATAAGACAAGGCCAGACCAGACCTACCTGCCAGTATTTGCCAGCTCACTATCTACTTGTGTAATAAAACGAGAATTTAAAAAAGACCAAAACTTTGTTTGGGGAAAACGAATAAGACAAAGGTACAACGTGAAAGCATGGATCTTTATTCGTTATAAATATTTAATTGCAGATAAAATAAAGGTAAAACATTGTTATATACAGCCTAATACAATCAAATTAAAAAAGTAAAGCGGGTGATTACCCTTCATTTCACAGAAGACCTAGGCCTAGCCCTGCCTTACCTGAGTGTTTGGACCCCAGTTTGGACTCAAAGGGATTGATCTGTTCATGACAAGGTTACGTACGTAATGACAACGGCTTATACTGTGTAGAAGTATGGGCATTGGCCTAGCCTAAACATAAAATACTACTAAACTACTAAGCCTAGGGCCTTAGGCATTCTATATTATTATTTGTATAAATAACTGGAAGGAAGACTTAAGTAGATATTATGCTAATAGTATTACAGCTAAGACCCCTAGCCTATGCCTAGTGTACCGGTATTCTTCAAATCATCAAATTCAAAGGCAAATGTCTTCACCGTCAGCATGATCCACGATTGTATTACATCTTGATTTTAAAAGCTAGCAATTTTAAAATCATTTTTATGCCTGGTCAGGTAGCTTTGCATAGACTAGGCGATATTATTGACATATTTTTATAAATAAATTTTACTTTACAGTATTTACTAGGCCTATGGCCCATGGGATTGAAAATGAAAAATCCTTACCACCACAACGCACGGAAATCATCGTTACTATTATAACAATTATTGTAGTAACTCCCGTTACAAAGAGCAACCTGCAGCTTTGATGATGATGCAGGCGGATTGAGCACTCAAACAAAGACTCTATCTAGTTAAATCCTATACTGTACATAATCCCAAATCCTTTGATAATTCATGGCGTTGAAACATATATAGGCCTTCCTAGACTTACAGCAAGTAAATTCGATACGCTTCACTTCAGTTAACGAAAATAATCACCATCTTCAGCATCGCTGATTGTTGCAGGTTGGAGGAGACGACTGCACAAAGTAAAGTAGGACGTACATTATCATTCTTCTGCTGTATGCATAGAGATATAATAGCTCTATGGCTGTATGTAGCTAGTCTACGCTCCGCTGCTCAGCTCGCCAGCTGAAACGACTACAGCGACAGCAAATAGGCTATTGAACTTACAGCTCTCCCAGAGAGGGAGACAAAGAAATTTGCATGGTTTGTTCAAAAATATAGAATTCATATTTCCCGTACTTTTAAAAATGCCGAATCATACTGATTTGGTTAAATTTAGTAGAGAAATATATTTCGAGAAAAAGTATGTGCATGGTGAGAATCATGTATTTGATCCCTAAATATGAGAGAACCTTCCATTTGTATTTGTGCTTAAAAAATATATATATATATATATTGAAAAAAAAAGAAGAATATTTTATCACATTGTATTTTCATTTTTATTTCAGTTAATCGACTGTTGCAATTATTCAGTTTTTCCCTTATCCTTTGCCCCTACCGACTACATTTTAATTCAATTTTAATTAATTTATTTATGCACCTAATACTAGCCTATTTATTTATTTGGTTTTATATATCTTGGCATGTGTGTGTTGTTGAGCTTGTGTGTTTTATGTATTTCATATGTATGACATTTATTTACTTATTCAATACATCATTGTGTTTCTAAAGACTTGGGGCTAGTCTACTTCAATATCTACCCGCATAAATCTTACGAGCCACCCAGTGGCGTAGGTACGGTGCAGCCAGTGCAAAGCACTGGGGCCCGGGGCTATTGGGGGCCCGTTCAATAGGCCTATAGATTTAAAAATATAACTTTAAATATTCCTACTTAAATCTTAAAAGGATCCATCAGTTATTAGGTTTTAGAGGCTATAATTATGGATTATATCCATTACGATTTATACTACGTGCCATAAAACAGTTATGGATGACTTTTTAACTTGTTTTACAAAAAACAAGCCATGAACAGCTTCGTATCTGTTGAATACATTCAAGGCTATTTTCTTTCATTCAGGTACTTATGTATTCGTATACAACGGTACAATGCACTAAAATACTTTTTGAAACATACTTCTAGAGCAATTGAAATGTCGGCACGCACGTTTTTGCTTGGTATTGGTAAAGCTGGTTAAAGTATTGTGCACGTTTTTGAATCACGCCCATCATACTTCGTGAATACGTTTTAGATCTACTTCACTGCAATTAGGTCGAGGAATTTCTATTCTTGTCAATATTGCACCATATCAGAAAAATGTTACAAAATGTTCAATAGGCCCTATATGATAAAATATGATATGTTCTCAATATCTTTGTATATTTTTTTAAAATATTTTATTGAAATATCTGCACGTTACAGTGCCGCCTGTTTTATAATATCAGAATGTATGAGCCTAAGAGTTTCGCCTAAGTAGTTATCTTGCACTGGAGCCCGTCACCCCCTCGCTACGCCGCATAATCTTATTTTATGAGCCGCATAGATCTTATGAGCCATCTACCCTAAAACTTCTGATTGAAACTCATTATTGTCATTATTCTTTTGTTTAGGTTCGGATGTGTTACAGTTAGGTGATGGTTAGTATTAGAGTACCGGTCACAATTAACCATGGAATTGGGCTTCACTAACTCACCCGTGCTTTTTATCATAGGCCTACAACTCCATTTTGTAAGCATAGAGATTAATTGTGTAGAAGTTTTGGCATTTCACTGGGTTATTATATAATAATAATAATAATAATAATAATAATAATAATAATAATAATAATAATAATAATAATAATAATAATAATAATAAAAATAATATTACGAATTTATATGGCGCCAATTCCAAACAAGATCAAAGGCGCAACGCATGTGAAAAGCCACCGGACAAAAATAGGTCTTAAGCTGTGACTTAAAGTTGCAAATAGAGTTGGAAGAAGTTATGTAATTTGGAAGTTGGTTCCAGAAATAGGCATAAGCAAAAGTAAAAGAACATTGACCGTATGTTTTGGTACGTCATTTGGAGACAGAATAAGGATTTGAGAGGATGATCGGAGACGGCGAGATGGAGTATATCGGGAAATCATTGAACGTAAATATGAAGGTTCATTCAGATGGAGAGCTCTAAAGGTCAGAACAAGTAATTTAAATGGGTCATTATTAAAGATTAATGTTTTAGGTGAGTAAAACCAACTATTAGAGCATGGGTCATTAATACAGTACTGGGATAAGAAATTTTACGGTATAAATACAACAGTGCGAAATTGGCCTAAAGCGACGTTGTCATTTGAAATGCAGAAGATCGTGCACCACCTGAAACATGGAGCAGGCCCTCATGCTGTTTCCATGTTACTAATGTCCGTCGTTCTCGTTTACTCTTTGACTAAAATACCTGACTCTCATTGGACACCAACAAGTCGTTCACCTTGATTTTCAAGTTAAAATTCAACCACGCTTACATTCGTTCATATGCTTGTAACATATCACAAAAAGGAGTCACTCAGGAGGATATACCTACAGTTCCGGAAAATATTAGGCCCTGCTAGGGTGACTATAGAGTGCGTCGACATTATGGAACTAAACTTGCGGATGAAGTCATGTCCTAGGTAGGCCTATGGATCTGAAATTGTATTCGTTTCAGATAGACTTGTAAAAATAAGCATTTGGTAAATAATAAACAAAACAGATAACAAGAATATATTTTACTCCAAAACGATATTTTAGGGACCGCAGCTACCGGTAAGTACCCGTAGGCCTATATCGGTTGTTATAAAATTACTATAACCTGTTAAGAATCTATAACATAACAGTAACATAATTATTATCGTTTATTAATTCGTTTTGATTTTTTTTTCTTTTCAGTTTTCTCTGCTAAAATGTAAATATTGGAAATGTAGCGGTGGCATTCGATTACTTTGCCTACAACATGAAAAAAAAGTAATGTTGAAAGAAATGAGACTGGACATGATTCTCTAATCGTCAGATATGAAACCTCTCGAGAATTCGTATTAAAATAGGTATTTGTTCATTGAATTTTTCTTATTGACGGGAATTAAATATAATGGCATCCATCACTCCGTATATTAACAACAGTATGTTGTTTACACTTTTCTCAGAAGGCAACAGTTCAGAAGAAACAATTTCAATGATAACAGTAGCTCCCATAGCTTTTGCTGTAGGTCTGCTGACCGTTTTCACGATCCTCGGAAACCTACTTACAATCATAGCAGTGGTGATTGAATCCAAACTTCATAAGTTTGAGAACTACTTTTTCGCATCATTAGCAGTGGCGGACCTTTCAATTGCAATCGTTGTCATGCCGATGCATTTACGCGTTGAAGTCAACAGAGGCAATTGGTACAGTAGTGATTTTGCCTGTGACCTTTTTATATTTACTGATGTAACCTGTTGTACAGCATCTATACTAAACCTCTGTGCCATTGCATTGAATCGATACTGGTCAATTTCGTCACCTTTGAAATACGCAACTAAACAGACGACAACACGGGCGGGAATCACGATTTCTGTGGTGTGGATTTTATCGTTGATAATTGCGAGCCCACCGCTTTTTGGTTGGCCGACACGTCTACGACGCGAATACACGTGTATGTATGACACAGACCATTACTACGTCATTTATTCCTCTTTTGGATCTTTTTTCATTCCACTTTTACTCTTAAATATTGTGTACTACAAAATATTCGGACTGGCTAAGCAAGGGGCTCGTTTTCGTAGAGCGGCTTCATCATACAATCTCCCAAAAAGAAATGCATCTACCTCATCCGGTTGTTACATGGTCGGACGAGTAACTATGTCCTCAGACGTTAACAAAAAAATAGACGGGCGTGAAGGATGGGGAAAGAAGACTTTACGGAAGTTACACGTACGGCGACCTCTTAGTAAGGCAGACCGGGCCGAAATGAAAACTGTCAAAACGCTTGGTAAGTTTGGAATGAGCCACAGGCCTATTTCCAAGATATTTTTCATAAGTCACTCAATGGCACTAGCTTCGATGGTGGTAGGGGCTGGTGGAGAAATGGCTTCGAGACCCGGGTACAGGGGACCAAGCTAATGGAGTAAAAAAAAGATTGATGAAACACGTTCATTCTTTTCTATCGCTTATATTCAACACCAGATACCCAAATCTTCACCTCATTCTCAAACAAACGGCGCCCTGAGGAAAGAATATGGATACTAAAAAATCTAAGCAAACGATAATTCACCTGTGCCACCCATCCTTATATGGATTGGCCTCGGGATTGCCCCACCTCCTGATGTCCTCAAATCTTCTTGTGCTAATGTCTTTACACATTGTAAAATGTCACACATTCAGTCATAAATGTTCGTGTTGCATACACATTTCTTTTTTTTTGAAAACATTCTTCCAGTCTTCTTGACTTTTTCATCTTTTACATAATACCCTTAATATTAACATTGTAATGCCGAAAGAGTCCAGATGGACAGGAGAAAAATATATTAAAGAAACATGTATTCCAACACGTCATAATGTAGTCAATAGTTTATTTTCATGATTTCAGTATTTTTGTATTTTTAGTCTTCTCCCTGACCGAATGTGTTTGATTTTTAATTCTCTCAGTCCTTTGTGACTAGGCCTATTTGTCGCTATATTTAATAACTCCCACATTAAGGATTAGGGTTTTTCTGTTTTGAAAATGTGATTTCCGATTGTATTAGGAGTAGGAATACGATATGCCGATGTCAAGATACCTTAAAATGTTGATCTCTGGTTATCGAACATTTACTGCAATTGATTTTGATTTGCATTGATTTCGATTTTTTAGGTGTCATCATGGGTACTTTCATTGCGTGCTGGTTACCGTTTTTTTCACTGTATCTGATCACTCCCTTCTGTGCTGCTTGTAAGGTACCCCCAGTTGTTGATCGATTCGCTTTGTGGCTAGGCTATACCAATAGCCTCTTGAATCCAATAATTTACATATGCTGCAAATCACTCTTTCGCAAGACCTTCAAAAAGATTATTTGCCTCAATTATTGCAGGTGAGTAAGTGGTGCTCATTATTATGAAAATGTCAATAAATTCAACGTGTGTAAGCCCTGTCCATACTCTGAAATTGTATTTTTCAAAAACATGTGACATCCCATTATGACCATTTATAGCACATCATGACTATATATGGGCATACAACATTTTTATTTTTTCAAAGAAAGTTTGATAGTCTGGAGAGCTTTAAAATACAAACTGGTAAATATATCGAAAAAGAATTTGAAAAAACTATGGTCGACGTCTGATGACAACATAAGAATTGTAATTAAAAATGAAATTAGAATATAGATTATGACAACTATACAATGATTAAATGTTTTGACAATACACTTAGCTTATGCCAACTGACATGCAGGGAATATTTTAATTGAGTTTTTAAATCTTTGAATCTTTGAACCTGCAGCCAATAATCAATCAAACTTTTGCTACGTTTAGTGAAATTATTAGTTTTATTGCTTCATTGGTACAAAAATCCAACAAAGCAACAGTTTCAAATTGATAAAGCATAGTAAATGTTGATACATATTTTAATCATTGCTTGTCTTTGACACATTACATGAATATAATATTATTTTGATTGCTTATGGATTATGTCAGTATATTATCTAATTTAATCATATTACTTGTAATCGCAACGAATTAGATATTATCCTTTGAATTTCTCCTAAAATGTGTCGATTGTCTTTCATTCAGATCAAACAAAAGATACAAACTGTCAAACAGGCGCCAAAGAGGAATGTACAAGCACATACCCCGTAGGAATTGTGACGGCGATGAAGACAGGTTAAAAGAACTACAAGAAAATAAAATAGATGATGAGATACAGGACGACATTTCCGAAGGAAAACTCGACACTTATTCCAAAAATACAAGCTCTAAACTATCATGCTCACCTTCGTCGTGGTCAGCTAGAAAAGAGAGATTTAAGCAAGTCACTCTAAACTTAGTACCACAAGTTCGAAAACTATCATCAAGCTGGAGGAGCAGAGATTCACTTGATATTCAAGAAGGTAGAACTATAATGACGTCATTTGTCACCGAAATTGATCATTTCTCTCTTAGCGACGATCCAGATACGAATCTTTCAAAATCTGACTCGCACTTGCACAGGTGTGGCGTAACAAATTCTTCATACGATGCCTCAATTGGAATCACCGAGACCGAAGTTCACTTACCTCCGAGAATGTTTCTACCAAGAGTTCACTCCTTTCCAAATATGTCATCCGAAAAAATTAACGGTTTTTGTAAATTACCGTTGTCAAATATGGACAAAACTTACCTTAGTGTTCCTAAAAACGCACCATTTGAAAATAACTTTGTGATGGGATTTAGGCTTAGTGATGACGTGCAAGAAATCGTGGATCAAGACGATCCACATGGAATACAGTTAATAATAACAGACGCAAACGCTGAACATACTTGCGCACAAGAAAATCCTTCTAAAGACATTAACAAATATACTAACACGGAAGATCAATCTACAAGTATTATACCGGATATACATAAAAATAACTGTCATGCTACCAAAGAAATAACGGACATAGAGTCTCAGCACATAGACACATTAATAGATTGCTCAAATTCTGATTCAACAACTGATAGCCAAATATCAGAGGAGGACTTTTTACGCGGGAAAGTAAAGGAGAATATTTGCAGGCGACACATTGAGTCTGAAGACTGCATCAAATGCAGACGGCACCGTTTTGTAATAATTAAAGAAGTCGGTGTACAAACAGATGAAACGCCTTTTAATGAGACTACCGACTTGCCTTACTTGAGTGTTCATCTTGAAGATAAAATTCCTGACCTCATAGCATCTGCGAGGTTGTCAGAAAATCAGGCGGGAACGAAGCACCAGTCGAATTCCACCAGATCGTCTGCCGATGACAAACCGCGTTCAAGTGCATTTGGAAAGGTGATGAGCTCAAGCTCATATAATGATTTTGATATATCTTTATGTAATGAACATACGACTGATGCTAATATAATTTCATCTTCTAGATCAGCCAATTTTAAGGAACTTCAGAGTGACGAGTCACTTGAGCCAAGTGATTATATGAAAGAAAACGTGTTTTGTTCGCGTTTCGATCCTAAGTCTCTCAACGTTCTTGTTCATTGCAGATCAAGCGACTTGTAGGGCCTAATCCTATTTGTAATTAATCAGACAATATTTTACTTCAAGAACACGACATTGAATTATACATAACGATGGAAATTATGTCAGATAGACCTATTACTAATGTCAGACAACCTTTCGTTTTCGATATCTAAATGTATTGTTACAATCAGAGAACAGTTAAATTAACTATTCCCTGGAGGCTTTTTAAGAAATAATTATATTCTTATAAAAAATAAATTTATTTTCGTGTTTTGCTGATTATTATTATTATAAGGCCTATTTAACAGCAACATCAACAATAACAATAACGTCTTTAATAAATATTACTGCTTCTAATAATATTGACATTAAGCGCAACAATAGCATACCAATGATAGTAGGCCTAATAATAATGAGGGCAGATCGCTGTTAGGATCGTCCTAATACTGTATATATTAAGGATGACCGTGCAATCGCCAAAGCTAACGCATCATAATTGCATAACCCATGGTTAATCAAGATAACAAAATTACAGTAGGGACCTACAGATTGCGGCGAGTCTAACGTATTACGATGAAACTCACTAACACACACGCGTGCAAATGATCATGAAACTCACCAATACACACATACGCGTGCAACTGACTAGAGCCACCGAGAGAGGGAAGAGTACACGATACCCGGGGACCAAGCTTACGGGGAGGGGGGGGGGTCATATAGCATTTTTCCCCAATAATAATAATTACTATCGTGGGACCTAGATAATGGCATGGGTCCTCTAATAATGGGCCCCTCCAGATTGACAGCCCCACACCCCTCAAAAAATTGCAATCTTCTCTGGCTTCGCGCTTGTAACTGGGGCCCACACCAACCCTTGTCCCTGTTACATTTTCCCCTCTTGGTGGCCCTGCAAATGACCATGTCCAAAAGCTACAGAATTCTTCTCTAATTTTTATACTGATAGTCCACTACTCCGGCAACTTCATTGGTTGCCGATTAGACAGAATTATTTTTCATGCACTTTCCATCACATTTTATTAAATTAATTTTCTAAAAAGTACCCCCTGCTTATATATTGTACACTTATCTCCAGGAAATAATATCGCCATGGTCATAATCTTCGTTCATCTGGTTCCTTTTGCCTTCGTACAGTATACCTCGGACTAATAAGTAAGAAAGCTGGTGATATAACCTTTTCGATTGCTTCACCAGGCTTTGGAAATCTTCCCAGCGAGTTACGACATGATTCTTGTTATCTTGGTTTTCGTCGGCTTCTTAAGAAACATTTTTGTTCCCTTAGGGTACATAGAAGAAATTGTTAGATTATCACTCCCGCCCGCGTCAAATGTGCAAAATATTGACGCGGGAATATTTTTTATTTTTTTGCTGCATCATTTATTTAAACGGCAACAGACTGGAAATACATTTTCTTAAAAAAAAAAACAATAAAGTTAAACCAGTTTTGATATTTACAATATTCTTGCCATATAAAATCAGTCCCTCCCTCATCAATAAAAAAAAAAGCAATATTCTATTGTTCCAATTAAAAAACAAACAAACAAAAAAAAACCGTCCGCCCCTATTTTTTTTTTCTAAGAATAATAATCTAATAATATTTCTAGGTGCCCTATGTAGATCTCACTGAACTGTGTTCAAATTTTCTGTTTTGTTGTCATTTTTGGTGTCTCTGTTGATCACCAATTGTTACCTCTTTTATATATTTTTATTGCGCCTTGTATCCCTTGGCAAAATGCACGGTACAAATTCCTTTACAGTTGTATTATTATTACAACTATGAAATTCAATGATATTTTTATCAACTACCGGTATAGTTTTAATTACTATTGGAAAAATGGAGCGAGTAAAGAAACACAAAATATTGTAATAAAAGAAATTCTTAGGCCCCATAATTTTTTTTTATTAGTTTATCACCCCCTCCCTCGTCACTTTCGGGGAAATTCTGTTTTGTTTTTTTTTTCAATTAACATATATTTTTATTTCAAACGGTCGTTTTTCCATCTTTTTTACTTGGAAAGCTCAAGATTTCTTGCAAATATTCAATTCAATTCAAATAAACATTTATTTCTTAACACAATATGATAACAAATGATAAAATTAAACAACCTGATTTCATTAAAAAAGAATTGTGTGATAGTGGGCACTGCTCAAAAAGTATACGACAAATGACAAAAAGAAAGACTGTTTATCAAGTGGCACTTGTAGCGAGCGACCCATATAATTACGAAAGCATAAGTGTCATATGTTTACTGGTAGCCTACAAAATATAAATTTGATTCCATTCTTATGAATTTTTATATGTGTCCCCATTGATTTATTTGAGAACATCGGTAAAATAGGAGCGGGGTTATATATATAAAAAAACCTCCCTCCCTCATCAGCTTTTATTTTTTGATAGGGTGATAAACTAACAATTTATGGGGGCCTTAAATAATTTTTATTGATTCACAAGCTTTCGAAACGAAAAAAAAAATATATATATAGGCCTATATATAAATATATGATAGGCCTAGTTAGGATGAAGAATCCAAAATTGAAAGTTAAAAAATTCATCGGATGTAACGATACTTTGTATTTACAGTGGTAATGATAAACTCTGTAAAATCAACTTAATTGGCCTGGTCGATTATAGATAAATGCATGTGATGATGAGCCTGAATATTCCGATTTAATTAGCTCCAATTCCAAACCAATAATAAAAGGTGCTAAAGCTTTATTACCAATGGTCACTGCATTACTGCTCACTGGCATGAGAAATATCTAGGGCGTTTAGCGCTTTAATCAGTGCACGAAACTAGTACATTTAATGCCACAACATCTTATATTGGGTAGAGAGAAACAAACGTAGTGTTTTGCCAAAAGACAACAAACGAATTGAACAGCGGGGATTTAGAATCTTGACCTCAAATTACGAAGTCCGAGCCACAGCCGTTGCGCCAAACAACCGCTTCTTCCACGAATAGGAAAGTAATCAGCCAATTATACCTTCAATTAAAATTAGTATGAGAAAAAGTTATTTTGCCAATTAAAGAATACAGTAATATTGTTCCTAATTCCCGTAAATTGCCTGATCATTATGTTTGTAGTGGAACGCCTGTAAATCAGTAGGCCCTAATAACTGAATTCTTAACAATTTTATTTGATAGTTTTAAACTGAGCAATTCAATATACTGATTATTTAAATGGTTTTATTTCAATTGTCATAAACGGAATATCTAAAAAAAAAAAAAAAACCCAGATCGAATAATTTGTCAACAGACTTCCAAAGAGACACAGATCGAGACAACTCTAGGTTTTAATTTAGTCTTTTTTATACAGAACTTTTTTAATTTATTACCAGTCAAATTAAGGAGCTAGGCCTATAGGAACGGTAACATGCGTCTTTTGGTAACTGGCGAGGAAGATACGTGTATATAGGTTAAAAAATTAAACCTTTCAAATAGTATTCTCTGTGGTTTTTTTTTCTATTTTCGAGCACAGACACAGCCTAATAAATTAGGCATATTTGTCTATTATCAGGTAAACTTAATTCATCCATGTTATCAGGTCACTAAGAAATCAAAACGAGGGAGCTTGGCTTATGTATATTTGAAATAGGATTTTTAGAGTGTTAAATTATTCATTCGTTAAAGTAGCTTCCAATCTGGCGCCATAATGTCATACAATTTCGAGTTCGCCTTCGCTTTTCATCCTGCTATGTGGTTGAAAATGTAAACATTCGCTCTACATCACTGATGATACGATATTCGGTGCAGCGTATAACTTACACGCACACGATCACGTAATTAATTATGGCCATGCTTTAGTGAAAGCCATAATCAAATGCTCCGTTTTTACCAGTTGGATGCTCCGTTACTCTATATATACATGAAAATAATAAGCGATACTTGAGAATTATGTCACTGGCTTTGTACTCGGTAATTGACGGCATAAATCTCTGGTTTGAAATGTTTTCGATTTCTTTGAAAGGTGTTGATGATAAAATGAAAACAATTACCACACTCATGAATGAATTTCAAGGTGAAGCACAAGGGATGATGCAAGTTAAACCAGGTAAACAAGTAACAGATTATTAAATAGGTCCATGACGTATTCCATCGTTAATTTTATGCCTCCGTTAATTTTTCACTGCATAACTGACTTTCGGAAAACTGAGTTTGGAAAACTGGGTTTCGGCCAACTGGGATTTATTGTTTTTGAGTCGGCAAACTGGTACTCGGCAAAGTGGTCTCGGCAATCTGGCATTCAGCAAACTGGATTTCGACCATCTGCCGAGATCCCCAGGGCTATGACCCAAGGAACTGAATTTCACTCTTGCTTATAGTTATTTTTGGCTGCTGCTAGGGATGGCGGGCACCCCTTTTGCCACCCCCTGGCTCTGCCACTGAACTGTAATGGAGAGCAGCAGATTTTGAACTGGGTACCAATTTGGCAAGTAACATTTCAATGCATACACAGTGGCTACCACCAGTTTAGCCGACTGAGCTAGCTCTCTTATCTATTCAATCACATTTCCATTATAATTCCAAGGCAATTATAATTTAATGGCTATTTTTAATAATTGAAACTAGATTTTGTGTTGATACAAAGGAAATACAGAGTACACACATATACCAGACAGGTGAATAACCGATACAAGAAAAAAAATGTAATTATTAGGCCTATGCAAATTTGCTCTCCGTTCTTAGAAACGATTTAGTTGACCGGGGTTATCAGTTTGAAAATTATGATTTAGTTCACCTTAGAAAATTATGCTTCAAATCAAAATCTATGGATTAATTTATACTAGAAGTCAATTTGCTCTTAGGTAGTAAAACCATCAATTAATTTTTGTCACACATACAATGCACAATATTCAAATATAATTAACAGAAATATTAGAATTCTTCAAATAGCTGGGTAGCAAAATGACTGAAAAGGTACATTTTTAGTCCTCCCTTCTTTGTTGTTTATTTCTTCCAACAGCTTCGTTGGTAGTGAATCTGTTTAGCTAATAATTAAATGTCAATCAAAATGGAAAATATTTAGTTTCGTTGAAGTCAAAATTAAAATGACTATTATAGGCCTTATAGCTGTGTTCTGATCTCACACCTATGACGAGAGTGCAATCAAATTCTAATGTTGACTGTCGTTTATAACTTGGATATTTTACCAAATAATAATGGTGTCACTGTCACATGGATACAGAGATTCAACCCCACCCCCACTTCCCAATGAATTTGGCCCTGTCCTCTGTATGTAATGTACTAACAGTAGGGAATTCGTCACTTCAGGTTGAATTCCCTATATTGCCAATCTCTTGCTGATGATTTGACTCCACTCAGAATAGTTTTCACTCATCACATGGCACATATAGACTTATAGGTATACCAAGTATAAGATTGGATTGGATTTCTTTAGACCATAGTCTAACAGCATAAATAAAACACAATCAGAAAAAGATGATTGAAGCATGATTTCCTTTTATTTTCAAATTTTTCGTCTCATACTATTTCACATAAAATATCTCCTCACTTCAATTTTTTCCTTCATTCTGCAGTTCCACATTTCATTATTGTTGGTCACTACCTATATTTTCCATACCATTTGAAATCATAAGGACCAAGATACTTTTTAATTCCTAGGTAGTTTCCATCAGCAATTCTTTTAAATGTCCATTCATTACTGTTCTCTTCCTCAATTCTCTTTTCTTCCAATGCATCTTCTTCCAGACTTGCTTGGGTAACAACTTTGCTACGAAATGGGAGTTTCTTTGAGAGTTCTTTAAGTACTGGCTCAACTTCCTCGAACTCACATTTTCCTCCAATTTCAACAACAATTCGACCTGGTTTTACTGGGGTTACATAATGGTCAATACTCGCTAAATAAAAAAATAAATACTAATAATATGAAAGTATATATC